AAAACCCATAAAAACCAGGGGAAAATGGGAAAAACCAGGAAAAATCCTATTGTGAAGTCCATCCATGGGCGATTCCCGGGATTTGGGGCTGCAGGTGAAGAACGCCGCTGCCAACGTGCTCAGGGAAACGTGGCTCATCTACAAGCACACCAAGCTGGTGAAGAAGATCGACCACGCCAAAGTTCGGACCCACCAGCGTAAGTTCCTCCAAGCCATCCATCAGTAAGTGCCGCCGCTTTTCCTGCTTCCTTGTCACCCCCCGTCCCCAAAGTGTCCCCTCCCGGGTGGGTGACAGGCGGGCCCGGGGGTGTCACCTGCCTTTGGTCTCTTGTCCCCTAGTCTTGTCACTGTTCTTTGTCCCCTGTCCTCCATTCCAACTGTCCCGCTCGCCTGGCCTTGTGCTGTGTCCTGTCCCTGTCCCCATTCTTGTCCCTTGTCCTCTGTCCTGTCCCTGTCCCCATTCTTGTCCCTTGTCCTCTGTCCTGTCCCTGTCCCTACTTTTGTCCCTTGTTGTCTGTCCTGTTCCTGTCCCCATTCTTGTCCCTTGTCCTCTGTCCTGTCCCTGTCCCTACTTTTGTCCCTTGTTCTCTGTCCTGTTCCTGTCCCCATTCTTGTCCCCCAGCCTTGTCCCCACTTCTTGTCCCCATTCCTGTTTCCCTGTCCCCCATTCCCACTGTCCTTGTCCCCTATCCTCTCTCTTTGTCCCCATCCCCTGTCCCTGTCCCCCAGCTCTGCTGTCCCCCGTCCCTGTCCCTGTCCCCACCCCCTGCTGGGGACACCAGACCTGTGGGGTGACCCCCGGGCCCCCATCTCCAGGGTGGGCTGTGGGGGTTACCGGGGGTGGCCTGGCTGGGACAGGGGTGTCCCTTTTGGGTCCCCTTTGGGGTCCCTTTGGGGTCTTTTTGGGGTCCCTTCAGGGTGGGGGTGGTGACACTGCTGCGCTGTCCCCTCGGAATTAACCCTTTGTTTTGTGTCCCTTGTGCCACCCCGCAGGGCTCAAAAGTAAGTGTCCCCTCCCCTCCCTCCCAGCTCTGCAGGGGATGGGGGGGACACCCCAAAACTGCGGTGACCCCCCCGGGGGCTGCTCTGGGGAGGGGCTGCTGGGGGTGACAGAGGTGACCGGGGTGACAGGGGTGACAGGGGTGACAGAGGTGACAGAGGTGACAGAGGTGACAGGGGTGACAGGGGTGACAGGGGTGACAGGGGTGACAGAGGTGACAGAGGTGACAGAGGTGACCGGGGTGACAGGGGTGACAGCAGTCCTGGGGGTGACAGAGGTGACAGCTCTCCCAGGGGGTGACAGCACTGTTGGGGGTGACAGAGGTGACAGTGTTCCCGGGGGGGTGACAGTGTTCCCGGGGGGGTGACAGTGCTCCCGGGAGGGTGACAGCGCTCCGGGGCGGTGACAGCGCTCCAGGGTGTCCCCAGGTCACCGCTGTCCCTGCAGGCTCAGGAGTGTGAAGATGGAGCAGCGCAAGCTCAGCGACCAGGCCAACACCCTGGTTGACCTGGCCAAGGTGAGGGGACGGCTTTGTGGGGTCACAGCTGCCCTGGAC